GCTGTAAGACAACACCTATACAGTACTGACTTGCATCAGTAGTGACAACAAAAGGCAAGGACACATCGGCTACCTTGAGTATTGGGTACTCTATCAAGGCCCTCTTCAACTTCTTTAGGGCCGACGTACAATCTTGGTCCCACTTCCAGATCGCTTCTTTCTTTAGCAATCTGCAAAGGGGTGCGGCGATGGCAGAGAAGTTCCTCACAAACTTCCTATAGTAGTTTGCCAATCCTAAGAACGACCACAACCCTGTCAACGTGCGGGGAGTTCGCCAATCTCTAATCGCTGCTATCTTGCCGTCCTCAGGTTTGATGCCATCTCCATCTAGGATGTGGCCCAAGTACAATACTTGCGTCTTGGCCCACTCGCACTTATTTGCATTGATCTTGAAGTTAGGTTATCTTAGCTTCTCCAAGACCTGCCTCAGATGAGCCTCGTGCTCGTAGAGGGTCTTGCTAAACACTAGGATATCATCTAGATGCACAATGATAAACCTATCTAACCACAACCTAAACAAATCGTTCATGCAGCGTTGAAATATGGTCGGTGTGTTGGTTAGTCCAAAGGGCATTACTATAAACTCGTAGTGCCCGTATCTAGTCTTGAACGCCGTCTTGTATTGATCGTCAGGATGCACCTCTATCTGATGATAGCCCGACTTTAGGTCTATCTTGGAGAAATACTTGCATTCTGCACCCGATCCAATAGATCATCTATCTGGGGCAGTGGTTCGACATTCTTTACTGTGACGGCGTTAAAACCCCTATAATCAATGCACATTCTTAACTCTCCCTCCTTCTTGGGGACGAACAGCACAGGTGCTCCAAACGGAGATGAATTGGGCCTAATCCAACCCTTCTCGAGGAGTTCGTCTAATTGCTTGCGCAACTCCTCTAACTCCCTTGGGGACATTCTATATACAGCTCCCTTAGGAGTCTTACTGCCAAGCTCTATCTCAATGCGATGTTGGATTGGCCGCGGCACTACTCGTGTAGGCGGCTAAGACAAATCTGCATACTCTTCCAGCAGCTTGGCAATACGAGGGTCAATTGGTTCCTCCTCTTTAGGCTCAGTAACTGGCCTAACATAGGCCACAAATATCTGTTATTCTAGTTGTCTCTATGCGGAAATATGCTTGGACTCCCTCGACGTAATCCTCGATTCGCATGGTGAGCCGCCATAGCTAGTGTTAGATGTTAGCGTGTGCGCATGTGAGTGACACTGTGAACGCGTGTGGGGTATTCAGGGAGATCCAAAGTTGAGTGTTGAGCGTGTGCGTGAACGGTGGCAAACACAGTGACGAGAGTTGGGGTGTACAGGCGCTGATGCGCCATAGCCTGTTGAAGCGAGTTTTCATCTGAACTGTGTTTCTGGTTTCCATATCTCTGAACTTTGAGCGAGCGCTTTGCGCTAGTGTGAATCGCCATTTGTTTGCATGTGTGTGAACTAAAGAAGACTGCGAGTCTGATTGCACTTCTTCCTCCTTCACTTTCTTTCTCGCTCACTTCTAGTCTCCTCCTTCGTCTTCCTCTCCGGGTGCAAGCTCGGCGGCTATGGCCGCCAGCTTCTTCCTTGAGCCACCACAACCAATCTTGTATCGCTCCTCTCTCTCTCTCTCTCTCTCTCTCTCTCTCCCTCTCTCTCGTCGTTGTTGTTTGTGCAGGTACGTGGCGTCTTCCTGCAGCGGTGCAGCTATGGCGGCTCCTTCTTCTTCCTAGGGACGACGACGATGGTGGGTGGAACAGCGGGAACCAGCTTCGATACCAATGCAATCAGACTCGTCTTCTTCTTAATCAGCATGCATGAAAACAAACAGCAATCACACTGGCGACAAGCGCCCACACAAAGCTCAGAGATATCGTGGCCAAGAACACAATTCAGATTCAACTCGCTTCGAATGGCTATGGCGCCTGTGCGCCCTCACAACACCCTTCCACGCTGTATCCTCAACACTGTTCACACGCATGCTACTCTAGATCTCCCTGGATATCCCACACACACACACAACTCACTGCACACTCACTCGCATACACGTTGTAGACTACCTCTAACCTATAGCAGCTATGGCCGCATTCTACCTCTGCCACTAACTAGTGGCTATGGCCGCTTCCCCCTTCCAGGCCCACTTCTTCCTCGGGCACCTGCAGACGTCCTTGCACAAGTCGCTCAGGCAGCGCTTTCGCATGGCTCACAGTCTGAATGAATGAATAACTGGACACTGCCTCTTGATTTATACTTCTGTTGGTCGCTGGTCTGCTCCTTTCCTTCGGGCCTAGGATGCACACAGTCCCACATGGTACTTGCTGACTGGACAAGGTGCGACTGGGACTGGGTGCCGCTGACTAGACCTGGTAAGTCTGCCCGCTTGCCCGCTTGCCCACTTGCCTACTTGCCCACTTAACCACTTGCCTACGGAATGCTTCTGAGACTCTCGAAGGGGCAGTCCTAGAAGACTCTAGACCTTCCTACTTGCCCTTTTGGTACTGTAGCAGCTACGATTAAGGTTGACCCTTCAGATCTACAGCAGCTACGACCAGACATAAGCTACGACTCCTACCCTACAGGTAAGCAGCTTGAACCTACTCGACCCTCGTTTCTGCAACAGCCTTAGACAGACAACTTTAGGAGCAGGTCATGGGTTCAAACATTGATGGGGCAAACTGTACTGTACACGGGTTCGGGGCAGGTCTAGGGATCGAGCCCTGAGATCTGCATCTGCTACCACGAAGGTGAAATCCATTTCATCTGTCTCTACTCGCTGTCTATGTATTTAAGCAGTATGAGCTTCATGACAGCTAGGTTGCTCTGCTCTTACAGTCTACCACTCTACTACGGTAGGTCAGTAGGCCCAGTAAGTCAATCGCCCGTCAGTCCAGTCCGTCCACAGCTGAGTTCCAGGGGAGTCGGTGCAACTTCCAGATGCATCGAAAGCCAGCTGTGGCCAGCAAGTCCGGTTACCGGTCCGCAAAAGTCCAAGCTTATGTCCAGAGGCAGCTGTTACATGGTGCGCCTGCACACCCTGCAACTGCAGGCAGTCGGAGGCAGTCAGGAGGCAGGCTGAGGTAGTACATAGGGACTTCCCATGCACTTCACGGGTAGGCAGGAGGCAGTCAGTACTCTTCAGGATTCGGCAGCAGCACTCTGGAGGAGCGCTGCAGGAGTAGTGGTAGCGTTAGCAGTAGTCTTCAGCGCTGGGCGCTACTATCGCTAGTTGTAGTCTTCAGCGCTGGGCGCCATAGCTAGAGTAGTACTAGAGAGAGAGAGATTGGGCGGAGGCCAGGGATACTTACCTGCAGCGCCGTTGCTCCAGCTTCGTCTTCGAGGTACCTGCAGCACAGCGCCATCTTCACAGGTTAGTACCTGATACATGAGAGAGAGAGTTCGTCTTCTTCCTCTTCTCAGTCCACCATCTCCTTCTC